GTTTATCGCTTGTGTGATGTCCTGGTGGGGTAGAAAGTCCGCTCGTCCGTCCTGCCATACTAGAAGGAAAGAAGACAAATGATTAGGCAGTATGTAGTGTCAGAAAAACACCTGGTCAGAGGCGACAGACAATATATTTCTGTGAAACATGACATTTTTTTGTGAAACATGCGAGGCGCAAACGCCGTCCGGAGGTGACCATGTTCAGTTTCCGGCACGGTAATTATAGCTCTCGATTTTTATGTTGTCTAGTGTGTTCCTCTATCTTTCTACTTTTTTCTATGAGTGCCTATCAATACATTTTCTTTTACTTTATTAATGTGAGACATGATCTCGTTAACCTGGACTACATCCTGGCATTTGCTTCAAAAAGTACCACATTCTGACACAGTATAGATAAACAGCAATAAAACACACACACACATTTTATTAAGTTTTTCACACAAAAAAAGTGAATTAAACATATGATATGTTCTGTTTGCTTCTATTTTGTTTCTGTTTTTGCTTGTTACAAGAACGAATGTAGCCCACATTAATTGTGTGTTTTTCCCCCAAAAATATTCCGACCTGGCAACAAATCAGATGAAGTTAAATTTGGACATGTAAAGGATAATAATCCGTATTTTTTTTTTTTTTTTTAAAAAAAAAAAAAAAAAAAGAATTGCCAATACTCACCCAGTATCCATGACAGTAGCGTCCACACTCAAGATATCCTCCAATGAAACCTCGTCTTCTCTGGGCCCATTTTTGCTTGTGCTATCCACTGCAGAATGATGAACTCTTAGTTAACATGGTTGCACGTATTTTGCATGATTTAACTGAATAATCGGAGCGCTAGTTATCTCGATGCACAGCAGTGCTGAAGGTGTGTGAGAGGAGATCTGGTTGAAGTCGTTGAAGTCTCTATAAGGTTCACCTGAGAGAACCCTTTTTAACGTTAACTCCAGGATACTGCGTCTGTGTGTGTGGGGTGATGGGTGCGCTTATAGTGTTTATATCGCCACAGGTAATGTTACTGTGTCCTCGAACCCTTGTCTTTTAGGACTCAGGGAACTGGCCAAATATTCCATCTGACTGGCCGAGCCGTTACAACTAACCACAACTGCACACAAGTAGCAATGGCCAGGGAATCCCGGGTCGCCCATGGGCACGCTGTTAGACGATATCGTCGCCGGCCGGGACAGTATTTGTGTCCATCTCTTTTGCTCGCATCAATACTATTGAGTCCTTTTCAGGGCTCTTGGTAGCGTGAAGTGCTAAGCCATTTTATATGGTGTAAATAACATAGACACAATTATAACTTTCTTCGATGGACCACTTCTCTTCCCTCACGTGCAATGAGTCCAACACACACCAGGCGAAGTGGCTTAACAATAACTTAGAACCCAACTTGTTACTCGGTCGGTCAGCATGGCCTTTACTGAAGATAGCTCTTTTAACAACACCAATGAAAGTATCTCCTTCTCTAGCCAGTTCCCCAGCCCTGTCTGCTTTCGTAGTCAATGCATCTTCAATGTCCTCTATCCATGTTCGCAGAGGTCAGCCTCTGCCTCGTTTTCCAGAAACTGCGCCCTCCACTACCGTTCTCTCACGACCGCCACTAACATGTTGCTAACTTCAAATTATCAAAACGAATAACTGGTGGCTGGCAACATACATTTTATCATATTTCACATGACAATGAGAATAATAATGAATTGCCTCTAAAAGCTTTGAATCGTCACTAATAATTAATCGGCCAACATATGTTATCAAACTTCCCACCAGCCACAAATACAGTAGAATATATAGTTATTGACCTGGCTGCAAAAACCCCCCTCCTGAGTGAGTGACTTTCTACCCCACAAGGACATCATACAAGCGATAAACACCCGATGACACAATGTGCCACTATACAGGTGAGGATCACTGTGGAGAGGTCCCAGAAACTGCATTCAGCCTTTAGGCCATATTTATGGCCAGGCTATATTGCGGCCCCTGGCAAGAGCCAGAGTGGGGCTTCAAATAACGAAAAATGTTGTCTTAAAAAGGACGGAAAGTGTAAAAGCTAGGTAATCCTCCTCTTGTGCATTAACATAATATATACATCTAGCCTCTGAAGGATACACAGGTCCTTTGTTTTCCTTTCTCATGAAAAAAAAAAAAAAACCAGACACCCCAAACCCCCTCCCCCGCGCTTATAAAACGGTGCTTGCTTAACTAGGAACTTAAACAAAACCAACTTCCAACTGACCCCTGTTTGTGATAAATAAACAACGTATTTAATAACCTTTTTCCCAAACTCCAATTAACACCCCCCCCCCCCCCCCCCACCAACCCCATACTCATTCTAGCTAGGTTGTTTTTAAGAATCAACACGTCGCCTCATCAAGTTCCTTGTTAAAAACCAGCATGGTCTCTGGTGTGTCCATTTGTGTTCGTTCTGCCAAGTCCCAGGCTTACACTGCAGCAAACAGACCAGCAGGCGTGCCAACTCAAATAAAGGACTCACAAATAGAAGATAACTCCACGAGCATAGAATTATGCAGCTGCATATTCTGGGGCTGTCGCACAAGCTAACGGACTCGATGCTGGCATTTTACCGGGCGGTGGATACCGCAGTTGAAGTGACCATGAATCTCGACAAAAAAGTAGGCCTTACAAGGTGCCGGTACTACGTACTACCGCTTCTGAAAAAAAACCCTGATAATTATAACATTTAATAATGAACATTTAATAATGTATACGGAATAAATGTTGCTTCTATTCATGGCTAATTAAAGCCCCTGCCCGTTCCCAAATTGCCTGAAGTGGGCTCCGTCACACGAAACATTTTAGACTTGGGTGACGAGCGGCTGGCCGAACGGTTAGTACGCTGGGTTCTCAAGCGGGAGACCTAGGTTCGAATCCTCGGTAAGGCTGGGGATTTTTTCTGTCAGGTTCAAAATAAAATCCTCATCTGTACAATCGTTGCGACAGCACTAGCCATGCGGCCGTAAATCCGCAGGCTCAAAGAACTCCCTGCCTTCACCGCAAAAGTGGTAAAATAAAGGTAGTTATTGGCAGTTTTTTTTCACTGCCGAAGTTCCCCAATGGCAGACGTCCCTGGCAACCACTTCATCAACAACGACAGCATCGGAAGAAAAAATGTGCGTGAGTGTGTGTGTGTGTGTGTGTATGTTGGCATCTTTCCGTCTTTCTAGACAATAGTGTTATATTGTGCTATGGGAAGGCATAGAAATTACAGCCCGTGGCGACGGCGAGTGCGACTAGCAAGACCTGCAGGTGTTAAAAAAAAATGTACAATTAGAGAATAAGATTTTAAGACAGTTGCTTCCATCATATGCATTAAAAGGAGAAGAAGAAGAAGAAGAAGAAGAATACATTTGATCCGACACCGGTTTATAAGGGAAACAACCGTGAAAACACTCCTGGCAGACGACGAGAAAAATGGAGAGACGATCTCCCGGTGGGAATCCGAATCAATAACTAAACCACGTTCCCAGCGCATACAGTCGTCACAGACCGTATTTTTAGACATGACATTTACAAAAGCATAACATTTTCTCCCATTCTGCAGACACATTAGGGTGAGTAAGACCCGTACAGGTGAAACATTGATTGTGAAGAAGAAAACTTCACTTGTTTCCCCCTCGTTTTTCGGCTGCTTTTAACGCTTGACTCAGGTTACATAACTATTCATAATAATTCATTGTTTGCGGTAGTTTGCTCTCGCTGATCGCTGTGTCAGTGAGAGAGTGAGTAACCTAGACAAACCTCACACGTTTGACGAGCAGACTGACACATCGGGCGTGAAATGTCTGCACACTATAGGCGTTGCTTTGAATGGAGACATGTGTCATGCATTTGTTGAAACGTGCCTGGCACAGGGAGTGTTGTAGTTGTAGACAGGACTGTAGGATTAGAGAAGGTCGCTTCGCCTTGTGTTTGCTGTTTGGCTACCATCTGTGTGTAGGTGTAGACAAATTGTATTAATAATATCATAAAGAGCGTGTTTCCCTGCAGTAGGGTGTGTTAGGAGTAAGACGTTTCATGTTTGCTGTTTTAGGCAGAGGTAAGCATTTTTGTAGTTTTAACTGAGACAACCTCGTTTCAAAATTGCCTTGCAATTATTAATTAATTACAGTATTGCTGATTATTTATATACTGTTGTTATTATTATTATTATAGTCAAAAACTTTATCAAGTATGTTTTAAATATTTTTGTTTATTTGTCTGTTCAGCTTTGGACAGGCAGTTCTACTTAACTGTTTCATTTCTGGGTAGATGTTACTTAAACCTGTTCTGTTCTAAGAAATTGTTACTATAGCTCATAATTAGTTTGATCTGATACAATTAGTATAACACAATGAGATAAGAGGAATTTAAATAACAGGTTGTTTTCCACTTTTTCACTCTATCTCCTGGGTTGGGAGATTTGGTAGCCCCGGAATGCCCTATACTATAGGGGTGTTAGGATGAGGGTTAGTTTCCTCCCCCTTCTTCTTCTTTCATTCACCTGAAATAGATTATCTGTATCTGCAATGCTGTTTCTAGTATGGAGTTTTTCTGGCTTGTATAATTCACTCATAAATCAATCGGAACACTGAAAAGATCCATCTTCTGGTGATGGCATGAGAGGGCCCTGAAAAAGACTGACAGCCTTCATGTATATGTACTGGTGTGTTAGGGTTCGATACAGCAATTCTGACAGGTCAATATAAACAAATCACTGGTATTGTCTGTCTTCTTGTTGGACTCTAACTGGGGAAATGGAAAGGAGGCTTTTGAATGTAAATGCTATAGACACATTTTATGAATCAGTTATTTAGAACACAAAACTAACAAATGTGCAACAAACTAACAAATTTTCAGGACATCAAGAGCCTCTCTGGCATGGTGGGTTTTGTGTGTTAGTGCTTCCATCTATACACCTCCACGACCCGACTGGGTCAAGCATTATGTTATGTTATCCTTCTTATCTGTCCGTTTGTATTCACAGATAACTGAGTAAACTAACCATGGAGACATTCATCAACACCCTCACCGGCCTGAAAATCAAATCCAGGATTCGAGACGATGATACCATTGACCAGCTTCACCATTTCATCACGGTATACCTGCTGGCAGCATTTGCCCTGCTCATTGGCATCAAGGAGTACACAGTAGGACAGTTGGATTGCTGGTTTAGCAATGTCACTCTGAAACACTTCCAGGAACATGTGAACACATACTGCTGGACACACAAGCTCTACAGGTATCCCAATCCTGACAACCTGAGTGAGGTGAGTCAGTCAGTTTTCTTCTTCTTCTTCTTCTTCTTCTTCTTCTTCTTCTTCTTCTTCTTCTTCTTCTTCTTCTTCTTCTTCTTCTTCTTCTTCTTCTTCTTCTTCTTCTTCTTCTCCTCCTCCTTCTCCCTCCTCTTCCTCTTCTTCTTCCTCTTTTTCTTCTTCTTTCAGAAAACTTATATCAGGAGGCTGGCAGCCTTTATGAAAGTTTTGGTACAGTCCATATCTTCTCGTATACCATACAGCTTTGTCTTCATTGTCATTTGAACAGGTCAGACTTTGTCTCTGTAGTCAGGGTACGGTTGCCACAGTAATTGATTTCTTGCTCTGCAACTCTTTCGATACCTGCCTATAATTACTGTAACTCCTTACGACCATAGACGTCAGAATAGCCAGTGTTTGAGCCCAGATGGACTTCCGGTCAATATGACAGGTTTGCTGTTTTAGTTGTAGCAAATTTTTGTGTATGACAAAGAAACATGCTGCAGTTCACAATGTAAACTATGTTGGGCACAGTCAAAAGAAGCATACCAAAGTAAATATGCACCTCACAGTGTCATGACATACACTAAACTCAGTGTATGGGTGCGGGAAATGCAACGGCTTACTATTGTCAGCAGCAAAAACTTCCTATGACAAAAAACCAGTGAACCCGCTTATCTGCTATATTGACCAGTAGTTCCGCTATAAAGAACCTATGGACAATAAACAGACTTGTTGAGAATCATGTAATGGCAGTAGAAATATGGTTTTGACAAATTTTGTAAATGCCATAGGTGGATAGAACAAAAAATGATGTCGTCCTTTAAGATATATATTAAACTGCAACTGAGAAATTGGATGTAGACAGTAAAGATCATGTCTGTCTGGCCTGTTGCAACCTCAGTGAAGACACAGCTAGGGGACATTTGGACTGCGTAATAGCTTTAGTTTAGGCTACCGGCCTCCTGATAAGTTTTCTAACAGAAGGATCAAAGAAGAAAAGATTTTTGTGAGTATGCTCTTGGGGGGAAGTACTTGAAAACTTAATAACAGCTGGCTATCTTGTTGCAAAAAAATAAAAAATTAAGGAAAGACAAAGGGATACATTTCATAACCATATGGGGTAAGCAAGAAAGGAACACAGACCTCGTGCATAAAACAGAAGTCTTCATCTTCAATCCTTCTGTTAGAAAAAAACCTTATATCAGGAGACCAGTAGCCTGGGTGGAAGCTATCGTGCAGTCCAAATCTCCAAGTGTGTCATATAGTTTTGTTTGCTTTGACTGATGTTGGAATAGGCCGGATGACCTCTTTGTTAGCAGCATTCAGTTGACAGTGTTTGCTCAGCATTTTCTAGTGTCAAGTTGCAGGGACGGAAAAAGCTAGGGCATACTGAGAGAGTGTCAGATGATAGAGAGGTAAAAACTGTATACACAAGGGAGCTGAATGATCAAAGATAACGTGGTAGACCAAGAAGACGGTGGAGAGATAATAGACAGACTGACCTGCCAACACTTGGTGTCACCAACTGGAAGAGAGGACTAATCACAGAGATGAATGGAGGCAGGTGATATCTGCAGCAATAAACCTCAAGGGCTGGCTCGGAATGCTAAAGAAGAAGAATTGGCAGGGACACGTTTTAGGGCTATCCTCCGAATAACAAGCACAAAAGATGGCGGCCGAAAACAGGGCCTCAGTCATGTGTCAATTGCGCACTTCCGGCGACCTAATTTACGGTTTTCCAGCGACTGCCGCCACCGACGAGAGTATCCCCCACGCCGCGTGAGTGGAGTGGATTGGGGCTAAACTAGATGGCTAGGACTCACGAGCAAAGCTGAATGAGATGCGGAAGCTGCTGCTCGGGAGTCCCAGCCATCTAGTTTAGCCCCAAACTACGCCATGTGAGCGGCGTGGGGGATACTCTCGGCGGTGGCGGTAGTCGCAAGAAAACTGCAAATTAAGTCGCCAGAAGTGCGCAATTGACACTTGACTGAGACTCTGTTAGGGTGTTTTTGCGGCCGCCATCTTTTGTGCCCGTTTTTCGGAAGATAGCCCGTTTCAGTGTTTCCGATACCAAGAAACTTAAAACATGTTGTCAAAATCTGCTGAGCCCTATTCTTCATGGTATACTGACCCTCTCTTGAGAGGCAATGAAGATAGTGAATCAAAACATACTATTCCCCATTGTGGGGAAAACAAGGATGGAGCCACCGCCTCCCCAACAAGCATGTCATAATAGTCAAGCTAATTTGGGGTTTCCTTCGAAGTCGGAATGCATGCATCTACCTGAGAGGCCAGGAACCAAGAGTCTGCAAAAAAAAATAAGTCAGATCTGGAACAAGTCTTAAATCCAGAGGTGGATGAACAACCAGAACTTTCTGCCAGAGTTTACAGCCGGTGAAGGCAAAGAAGAAGAAGATAACATACTATACAATTCACCATGTCACATGAGGCTGATGTTAAATTCCTAACCTGTTCTCTCTGGTACTGTTTCAACAATATAGTTAACCCCAGTTGTGTGGTGTAGTTGTTATAGTTTAAATCTTCAGATGCGCACATTTGCTGTTGATCTGGTGAAACTAATGCATGTGTCTAACAAGCCTGGCTTCAAACTTAACACTAACATTTTGTTTTAGCCTAACCTTTCATTAAAATACCTTCCCATGTGGGTTCCGTTGCCCCATTATGGGGAAAACAAGAATAGACCCACTGACTCCTCAGCAAAGGAGTCAACAAATTGGGGGCATCCTTCAGAATCGGAGTGTGCCTGAGAGGTTCAGAACCAGCAGTCTGCATATAGATGAGTCAGATCTGTAAAACAGATGCACATGCAACACTCAGATTCTGGATCAGGACTGCATTCCAGAAGTGGGTGAACAACCTAAACTTACCGCCAGAGTTTATAGCTGGTGAAGAAGAAGAAGAAGAATAATACCTGGATTTCTTTGTAAGGCAACAGTCAGTTGTTGATTAAGTCGCATTCTTGCAAACTGAATGCACCTGTGAATCTCGTCATGAAAGAGAATTACAGTATTTCCCCAAGTATAAGACATATTTGTTTTCCAAAAATAGGGGACATGGGAAACTAGTGTGCATCTTATGTAGCGAAAGTAGATCTTCACCAAAGGATTTGTTAAAAAATATCCCATACAGGGCCTCATTTGAGAATGCTGGTTCAGGGGCCATTTAAAATAAAAAATAAAAAAATTTCACAATTCTTTCATGCTATAGTAGTTTTTGTGCTTTTGTTCACGCTGATGGCTTTGCACTTGTTACATTAAGATACACTTGCCCCATAATTGTCTCAGGAAAGATGCTTGTACAGTACTGAATTCAGGTCAAAGGTGATCTAGTTTGCAATAGGAAATGGAAATCTTGCTCCTAAACATACATTTGGTCCTCCTGCAACTGAGATAGCAATCCCAGACCAGCTGCGGGAAGAATAAACCGTTAAAAGTAATGATAGTCTCCCGCCTGTATACACACTAGCTCACTTCTTATTGGTAGTTTATGAGCCAATCATGACCTTCCCATAAGGTTATGGGTGTGTTCCGCGATACAGTTGATATCGCATGTTGTATATTTCAGCACGCCAGCGCTTTAAACGCTAAAAAATCATGGACCAATTGGTCCTAACAAAACCCACCTGAAAAGTGCCACAACCTATATCACAGGCATTCTGTTTCTCGGAGTGAAAACGTAAATGCAAGACACCACAGAAAGCAAGTAACAGAGCGTGACACACCACTAACCTTCAGGAAAATCAACCAGCCCAACAAACTTGTGAATGAAAAGTGACCTACTTTATCTGGGGAGATTAACATAAACCTAACCGAATAAACATTACAAAGGATGCAAAGGAAGAAGAAGGCCGTGATAGATAAAATGACCTGGTTAAGGGAGGGAATTGAAGATATGGATTGAGGGAGCATATGAAGGCAGTCATTCGCATCAGACACAGACAAGGGTAAGCTAAAACAATGTCATGTGTGGAGGAGAGTTTTGACAGTGGTGATGAGTATTCTGGATTCTCTGATGGATGAAATGTGAGTTCAATAATTTTATGTAATTGTATTATTTCCCCTAACCCCCTGTCACAGACCTCGGGGTGACCTTGATGGTCCATGGCTCGTAACTGGGCCTATGACAGACAAACTAACCTTTAACACACACTGAACCCGAATGCACACAGAGCACACATGACAATCTTTATTGCGAGTTCAGTTAATACAACAGACAGTTAACTTCCCGCTGTGTGGCCACCTATTGCCTGGACCCTCTGGCCGAACGAGCTTTACAGTCGCCTCACTCCCCAGTACGTTCCACAGGCAATCTCCGGTGCACAAACCACACTGGCACGGGATACACTCTTACCTATCGACACACTGACCTAGCAAGATGTCACAGCTTCTGTCTAGTGCAGGGTCTGCGTGACAAGGTTAGACATTCTCTCACAGAACATGTACCTAAATGATCTAACTGGTCAGAAGTAACTGGACACTAGTTACTTATGGTGGCACAACACAATACCTTGTACCAGTTAAATACACAGCACAAAAGACTATCCTATTCTAACAGAACACTGTAAAAACTCTGTGCAGTCACTAAAGAAATATCCTAACTCTAATATACTATCACTGTCTCGCTAACATGTCTGCTCGGTCTGAACGCTGTCCACTCAATCCCCTGTGTTCTTTCACCTCGTGTTTTTTGACCCGTTCACCTGCCCCTGGGGCAATCGTGTTGCGAATTTGTCTGCAACAGAGTTCACTCTTTCTTGTCGTGGGGTGTCACCTGAACTTGGTACACCCTACGGTGTGGTCCATTCCGCCACTGACTGTACTCACATTGTTGTGACACCCCCCCCCCCCCCCCCCAATCCCCCAGATTTCTGGTAAAGAAAAAAATCATGGTGTCTCTTATGCAGGGGATATTCTAATACAGTGGTTCTCAACCTTCCTAATGTGGCAACTCTCATATTGTGGTGACCCCCAACCTTAAAATTGTTAGACCCT